TATTCTTTTAATGTCTGTAAGAATACAGTTACGGCCCCTCTTTTGTTCCTGTAAAGTGTAATGTGTATCTTTTCTACATTTTCTTAATCTGGCTAGAGATTTACTGATTTTATTGATTTTTTCAAAGAAGCAACTTTTAGGTCTCACTGATTTTCTGTATTATTTTTCCCTTCTTAATCTCTTTGATTTCGGCTCTTATCTTCATTATTTCCTTCCTTCTGCTCACTTTGGGTTCATCTGCTCTTCCTTTACTAGTTTCTTAAGGTGGGAGTTTAGATCGCGGACACAAAACTTTGTCTTCCTTTCTTAATTAATATAAACATTTAATACTAGAACTTTCCCTCTACTGCTTTCACTACATTCCACAAAACCTGACATGCCCTATTTCCATTATCAGTTGAAAACATTTTCTCATTTCTCTTGTCATTTCCTCTTCGACCCCGGGGTTATTTAAAGTGTGTTGCTTTCATTCCCAAATATCTGGGGATATTCCAGCAATCTTTTTCATTGATTTCTAGTTTAAGCCCATTATAGTCTGAATAAATACCGTGTATATTATTTTAATTCATTACGGTTTGTTTGATGGCTGAGAATCTGGTCTATCCTGATAAAAGTTCCATGTACACTTGAAAAGACTGTGCACCAGGACGTGGCTGGGGGAAGGCTCTGCAAGTGTCACTCATGTCAGCTAGGCTGCCACTGCTGTTCCGGTCTTCTGTATTCTCACTGGGTTTCTCTCTAGATGCTATGTTGATTTCTAGTAGAACCGTCTCCTATTGACAGAAAAACTGCAAAGGTGGTACAGAGCATTCCCACATAACCCACACCCAGCTTCCCATTATTAATATCTTACACTAGTTAATTAATAAACCAATGTTGATACATAAATCCATACTTTATTCAGATTTCCTTCGTTTTTACCTAAAGTCCTTTCTTCATTTCAGAATCCCACCTAACACATCACATTATATTAGTTGTGATGTCTCCTCGGCCTCCTCTTGGCTGTGACAGTTACTCAGACTTCACTGGTTAGACATTTTGCGGAATGTCCCTTAACTGGAATTTGTCTTAGGTCTTCCTCATCACAGGGTCTCTGAGAGGAAGACCACACAGGTAAGATGTCATTTTCACTACACCATGACAAGAGTGCAAACTGTCAACACAACTTATCATTGGCTAGTCACTTTATCTGGCTGAGGAAGTGTCTGTCAGAGTCACTGTCAAGATGCTCTTTTTGTTATCTTTCCATATAGAACTCTTTGGAAGGAAGTCATGGTGTACGGTCTACACCGCAGAGTGGCCAGTTTGTTCTTCCTCCTTGAGGAGGGAGCATCTACACAAACTATCTGAAATTCTTCTGCAGGGGAGATGTCTCTTCTCCATTTATTTGTATCAGTATGAGCTAACGAATATTTTGTACTTTGGGTTCTAAGACAACACAGCTTTACTTTATTGTACAAATTATTATGCTGCTGCTGTTGTTGATTGTGTCAATCAGCTCTGGCCAATGGAAGCTCTTTCAGCTGGCTCCTGTGTTTCTCTAACAGAACCCCTGCCTCACAGGGGTGGGGTTTTGTAGGTCTTTTAATACTTCCTTATTTTTGTACTACATGGTGCTCTTGCCCCTGTCGTAAAACTGGCCATTTCTCCAAGGAGCCCTGGGTCCTTTTCCTGGAGAATGGTATGAGAAACCAAGATCTGGGCACTCATCCTTGTTCCCAGTGGCATGTCATTACTTCTAGACTGTTGTAGCCCACAAAGCAAGTCTTTTTGGTTGAACTCTTCGTGGCTCAGTGTGGGTAATTTCTAATGTCCTGTACTGATTATTTCCTTGAGTCGGCCCAAGTTCACCAATAAGCCCATAAGCATTCTTCATTTCTGCTGTGGTGTTCAGTTCTAGCATTTCCATATGATCTTCCCTCTCTCTGCTAAAATTCCCCACCGGTTCACATATTGTCCATTTTCCCCACAATCCTTTAACATATTTAATCAGTTATTTTAAATTCTCTGTCAGACAGTTCCAGCATTTTTAAATTTCGTTCTATTGACTACTCGTGCTCATGAGCTTTTTTGGGATTCTTTTTACCTTGTTTGTCTTGCAATTTTGGGCTAAAAGGTGGACAAGTTGTGTAGAGTAGTAGAAACCGATGTAAACATTATTTCTGGAATGAACACATCTCTTATTCTCTACACCTTTAGTGTGGGGTTCAAATCAATCTTAAGGTGAGCAGCTGAACTAGGTTTGCTAGGACTGATTTCCCTCAGCGTGTTAGACTTCAAATGTGTCTCAAGTTACTCTGTATTTATACTTAGGGCTGGTTTGTCAACTTTTTCCCCACGTCACTCTTTAGCTTACTCTTAGCTAAAGTTCTTCCCTGTAAGCTTGCTCCTGTGCCTGATAAAAGTCTCCCCCTACACCAGCCTTTCCTCTTATCAGCTGGCTGCTGTTACTGGAGGTCTGGTGGAATGGAACAGTGGGGAGAAAGGCCACTGTTCTGCTTTAGGCTGTCTTAGGCAGCTGAAGGGTCCCTAGCTCTCACTGACCCTGCTTCAGTGGTAGGGGATCTCTTTAACAGTTGGGGCCCAGAACGTGTCCCTGCCTCTCCCATGGGCTAGAGGATTTTTTCTGGTCCGTTCTTCCCACTGCAAATGGTCTTCACCTGTGTCTTTATGACTAAAGGATTTCCTTAATGGCCTAAGGACTTCGTTCAGCAGGTGCTAGAGGAAGGATTACGGTGGGGACTCATGCATTTTCCCCAAAGGCTGCTGCTCTGTTTCCTGAGGCCCATTCTTCAAGGGAAGCTTTTTCTGGCCTCTTGCCCTGCCCCGCCACCACCATTTCCCCAAGAAGAGCTTACAGATGTGTGCATATTCCCCTGGCGTCTACAGCTTTCAGGTTTCTTTGCCCTCCTTGTCCCCTAGGGAGATTTGGGAGTTACCTAGCCTACTGTGGTCCTGCATTTATGCAAAACGTATCTAAACTCTTAATTTCACCAAGATGAAAAATGAAACTATGAAAGTACCCCAGTTCCTTGGTGTAAGGTAAGAGCTAATATATACTAACTTACCCCTTTTCTCCTTATTTCTTGAGTTTTATTAAAATAATCTAAAATGTATTATTTGTTTCCAACATGTAACTTATTCAACTATTCATTTATTCATTCTGAACATTTAACCATCACATTCATATTAATAATTTACAAACCCTATCCATTTCCTTTATCATCACTTTTATGAATATTACTACTTTAAGTTCTTTAACTTATTTTCTGTTGGGTTTTAGTCAAGTCCATCTTCAGGTACTTCACGCCGAGAACAGAAGCCTGATGGAACGCTGAGGTCGCTGAGGTCGCAGAGACCGGGGAAGGCCTGCTCTGCCCTCACACGTCCCAGCAGTCAGCAGCAGTGAGCCAGGGGCACAGTCCTGCCCTCCGCTTTCCGTCTTTATTTAGCTTCACAAATGAGATGCCTGGCAATCTGATCTGCTTTGTAGTTAACCCGTTTTTTCTTATCCAAGTATTTCTAGGATTTGTCCTTTCTTCTTGGGATTCATAAATCTCATCAGGAAAAGGCTAAAATCTGAGTGCCACCCTCCCTTTTAAATTTAATCTTGAGTATAGCATTTGATCACTTTCTGATCTGAAGACAAGTTCCTTCTGGTCAAAAATTTCCTTCTATTGTTTCTCTTATTGTTGTATCTTCTCTGCTCTAGATTGTACAATTATGTGTTTTCTTTCTTCCATTTGCAAAGACGTACCTTTTTTCTCAGATTTATTCCTTTCTCAAGTCAGGGTATTTGACAGAAGCCTCACAGCACAGCACCATTTCAGATGCTTTCAAACCATGTGAAGAGATGGTGCAACTGTTGTGAAGCATGAGGAGCAAGATGACAGGCCTGCACCACCTGATTACTACCTTCATCCCTGGTTACATTCTTTAAAATAGAATTTGCAGTAGAAGATACAAACACAGTCAAAATTGCAGACAATCCCCAAATTACAAGATCTTTGAAGCGGTGTTGCCAAACTGCCTTTCATTACCACAGACCAAATATTAGACATACCGGGAATAGAGATAAAGGAATTTGGGAAGTGGAATGATTGTGTTCACTACTTTGCCAGAAACCAGAATGACATCATGAAAAGTACATCCAGAAACTTGGATGGCCGAAATTTTCATATGCTGACAGCAGCCTCCTCTGTCCTCTCCAAGCCCTCTGGTTTACTGGAGAGATCTAACAGTGAGTGAGAAAATACGAATTCCAATCCCTAAACCACATATTCCTGGAGGGCGCACATATACATACCTCTTCAAATCCTCATGCTCCAGGGAACAATTGGAAAATTCTGACAATTAGTAAGTGAATTGGCACTGGACATAAACTGTACAGAGTAATATGACAAACATCATCTGGCTGGCCCAGGGCACATACATGTGAAAAGCAGACAATATTTCTGATTCTGAAACACTTGGCACAATTTTTCCTTAAAGGCCGCAAGCCACCTACCCACCCATTTTAAAACCTCACAAACTGCAGTGCCCTCACATGTGAAATCCCCAAAGAACCAATCTGAAGCCTCAAGTTAGCCTGTGTAGAAAAGAATCACAAGACAGAAAGCGTCCCTGAATTGCCACTTGGGAGGGGAGAGAGCTGCCCACTGACCAGGAGGAACACCTATTTTCATTTCATAATCAAGAAATACGCTTCTCTTGTGTTGCATGTTTTATTTATGACACCACTTGTTATAGCTACCTTCTCATAACTACTACAAATAACTAAACACTGCTGGTGAACAGTGCTCACCAAACGCTATCTTCAACTGTATCCCTATATCCCACGCTCACACGAAACTAACTCAGAGTTCACATATGGTGGAGACTCAGCACCTGCAATTCAAGGGCATGAGATTGTAGCTAATCAACCAACAACTTTTAGTTTCTAGAAAATCTCAAAGCAAAACAAAATGGCTCAGCATTTGTAAGACAAAAGGAAAGCTTACGTGGGCCGCCGTGTCTCAAGTAAAGTCAGCAGTATCTGGATTGCACTGACTATGGCGGATTCATTTTTCTCCTTGTGGAAAATATTTGATAGAAGCTGCTCTATAATTTCTTGCCTAGGGAAACAAACCAACAGTCAAGTGCTAACTGTAACATCCATTACCAGTAACGCCAGAGAAGAAGAGCATGGCAGCAGTCAGGCAAGTACTCTACGAGAGCTCAGCCGCACTTGGTCAGATCTGTTTCGCTTCACAATATTTTATTTTTAATACATTTATTAAACCAGACAAGTGATCCTGCTTATTATAAAACCTAACTCTCCGACATGTATTCCCCTACTCCCTCCCCTCAGCAGAATCACCTGGGCCCTGCTTGCCTTCGTCAATCTTGTTGAGAGCCAACAAGTATTTCAAGACTGGAAGTCACCTCCCACTCAGACCGGGTGCTGGTGGTGGTGGCTGTGGGTGGTAAGAAGATTTGGAACTCTTCATCCCACAAAAGGAGGGGAATTTTTCAAAAAGCCTAATTAGAACCCACAAATGTCTTCCCACAAAGGCATTAATGTATAATTAAGATCTAAAACACGTAAAAGATCAATTGTTGCATTTACCCTCTAATTAAAATTTGGTAAATCAAAATAATATGGTAGCAATGAAGTAGATTTGCCTGAACTATTGCCCAAAATGTATTCTCTATAGGCACACTCGTTTTTGCTGGTTATCGTATCGTTTTTGTCCATCAGTAGGATGAACATTACACACTCAAGCCAGGATGAATGTAAAACACAAGGGTAACTTATTAGGTAAATTTATATGGACACTCCCAAGGAAGATCTCGGTTTCTTAGGATCTCAGTAATTTTCAGAATCCAAGTAAATGAAACACTGGCATCTCCCTTACAGCGGGACACACAGCTGGGCTGTCCCTGTTGCTCACCCAGCAGAGACGCCAGTTGTCCTGAAGTACAGCTGTGCTCACTGCATCCCAACATCCCCTTACCAGGCCAGGGCAGCAAGCAGGAGAGAATCTCTTTTTATCTGGGGGAAGCAAATAAAACTGGTATCTAACCTAACTTCAGAGCACCCCCACCCCGATGGAAGGAGCTTTCAAGTACTGCCAGACCAGCACTAAAATGGTGAGCCCTTTACGCAAAACAGCGCTATGAAAGTCACTCAACACACAGCAGTCTACAAAATAAGTACTAGGTTTGGGACTGGGCTCTGGAAAACAGCCAGCTTTTTCATAGTAAACAGGTGTGTATTTTCCAAAGAGCAGCCTCACGCCACGTCGAGGAGTCCTGACACAGCATCCAACCGCAGATGTCCACCTTCTCGTTCCAGCGCACGTTCTTACCGGAGAGCGCAATCACAGTTCCATAAATGCTGAAGCCTGAGGGAGTGGCTAACAAGGAGGCCCTCACTAGCTCAGGGCCTCATCAGTCAACTGCGCCCATGAAAGCATCCTACTAATGCACAAAAATGATATGACAGCCAGCAAAAATCTGGTGGTCAAGATGTAACACAGTATAGTAGCTGAACCATATTATGAGTCTTATCTAAACACACAAGTATCACTCAATACAGAAGAAATCATGAACTGAAGGACTAAGCTATTCAAACATGATAAAATGAATGCCTTTGTATTCCTTAAATATTAAGGCATTTATTTACATGTGAGAGAAAATAGATTTACTTTCACATTTTAAAAAAACTGGAGTTCTTGGACGAGTGTTAGTAAACTCCCCATAAGAGCTGTGAGGGCACGAAGCACACAGGCCCCGGGGGCCAGACCCCACATCTGGGAGGGCCCCGGCGGCACTGACACTCAGTGCTCACTGCTGACCAGTCTGGCATCCGGGGGAACCTGCTGTCCCTGACGGCCACTGTACTTGAACTAACCTGTCCTAAGTGTAAAATACACACTGGATCTCCAAAACTGTGACAAAGAAAAGAATGTAGAATACCTCAGTAATTATTTTTTAAATGGGCATATGTTCAAATATTTTGTGTCAATGAGATTAAATAAAATATATTATTAAAATTAATTTCACCTATTTTTTTACTCGAATGTGGCTACTAGATAATTTAAAATGACATCTGACTTTTATTTCTATTGGACAATGCTATCATGAACCATGAGATTGTTGGTATTCAAAAATTTTTAACATACTCAAATGGCAATTTTACATGGTTCAACCTAACACTACTATAATTACTAGTATTTAAATGTGGAATATCTTAGATGTACAAAGAGTACATATGCCATAATGCCAAGAATAACGGAAATGGGGAAGGAAAATGACATTTTACTTAGAAGCTGGTAATTTAAGTTTCCCTACTTCAGAGAATTAGTCAACTCCCTTCCTGGGAAAATACAACTCTACTTCTTAGATGACAGACTTTAAAAATGACACCATGTCTCTAATTTGTTCCTAGCTCATCTCACTGTGTGGATGCAGGTCAAATGTATGCCTGTGCTCAATGGCAAATATTCTTTCAGAGAATGTGTGAATCTAGAAAAGCTAGTACCCACGGGTTGGCCATTCACAAATTTCAAAACAGCACACCATCCTCAAGCTATTTTCCACCCAAACATGAGATGGCTGCTCACAAGGAATGGTCATGAAAAATAAGGGCAGAGCAGTCACTACAAAGACAAAAAACATACAAGACTTGTAAACCCTTCAAATCAGGTCTGGTCAGGTTACCCCTAGTCAGCTGCAAAGGTATAGTAAACCCCAAGAAGAGCTTCTGGTAAAAATCCTTGACTACAATGGGTCAAATTAGTTTGTGGTTCAGACTATTCTTCACCAAAGACCTGGAGAGCAGTAACCACAGCCATGATGCGCTACCCCATCTTAGGACGGCTTTATGGAATTATAGTTTACAGCTATTTGAAGAGGTCGAGGTCTACATATAAATGTCATTTATTTACATTTTTACCCTGCAGGTCTCTACTGGGCATCAAAAATAGCTGAGATCAGATAAGCCGGTTCTCCTACCTTCTCCCCCACCCAAGGGTATTGAGCAGGGTCATGATTCCCCCAGATGGAAGACTTACCAACCACTCATACTGGTAACACATCAAATAGCATCAATTAAAAAAAAAAAAAAAGAACAGGAACAGAGTTTTAAACATACTTTTCTAGAGTGGCAAGCAGGGGATCTGGTTCTGTACTGTTCTGAATTTGTAACATCTGGTCTCTGCTCAGGCGAACAATTTCACAAAGTGACTGTGAAGCATTTGAATGCCGCTAAAGGAAAAAAGTACAATTTTAACCATAAAACACATCAAACGTCAAATTTATAACAAAACGTTAGTGAGGACATTGCTTAAGAAGTAACACAAATCAACACTGGCCATAAGAAGCTGCAGTGAGTAAAAAGTCAAGCTCAGTAGAAGTAACATAGGTAAACACAAGAGTATTTGGTTGTGCCAGGCTAATGAGCTTCACATAACAATACTGCACAGTACAGATCACTACGTGTAGGTACATGGGATCAAAGTTCTGGCAAGGAAAAATTTCTACAACTGAGAACTTGAAAAAAAATACACCCCCAAAATACAGCTGACCTTTGGACAACATGGGTTAGAACCACACGAGTTCACTTCCACGTGGATTTTCTCAATATGGTATAGTACTTATTTAAATGGATTTTCTCTCATGATTGTCTTAACATTTTCTTTTCTCTAGCTTGCTTTACTGTAAGAATATGGTATGTAATACATATACAAAGTATGTGTTAATTGATGGTTTACCTTATTAGTAAGGCTTATGGCTAATGGGCTATCAACAGTTAGGTTTTATGGAGTCAAAAGTTTTACATGGATTTTCGATTTCATAGGGGGTTGGTACCCCTAACCCCTATGTTGTTCAAAGGTCAAATGTATATATTTTTATCAGCATAGAAGCTGATAAATCAGCTTTTAAATCAGCACTGATTTAAAAAAAAAAGACAAATACAGCTTTCTGGAATATACCAATGGGTAAGAAATGTTCATCTTCTCCCAATGTACTGTGTGTTTACCTTACAGGAAAGGTCTAAAATCTCAGCACCTGAATGCATTATAGTCTGCGGCACGTGGCACTGAGCGCAGCCCGCAGATGGAGCAGTTACACAGCCGGTTCAGGTGGACCGTGATACTACGGCACAGATGACAACACACAGCAGGGTATCAAAACCCACTGACTAGAATTAGGAACCTAACATTTCCCTGGTCAGTATGATTTTAGCATACAATTTATCACTTAATACAAAAGAGAAGTATCGAAAGGATTGTCCAGAGGCAAAATTAACTTTCTTGCAAGTCAAGTCAAGAAGCTAATGCTCCAAATGCTTTGTCCTTAAAAAAAAAAAGAAGAAGAAGAAGAGCTGCAGACTTGGGCTTCTCCTGTATCAGTTTCTCCTGAGCCTTGCAGACAGGTTTAATTTCCTGTTGAGCAATCATGTTCTTCTGTTTGAGAACGGAAAACCTAGTAATAGGCAAGCCTTGTCCACGGACATGTATTCCCTGTGAATGAGACAGGCCAGGCTCCTGTCATCACTCTCCAAGGCCCCCAGTGGCCACACTTACATCACACGGGAAACGTGCTCAGGAACCGTCCAACTCCCCCGGCCACAGGAGGCGTTATTAGCCCAACCAGACTGCAGGCTCCCTCTAAGCAGGACTTCTCCCACTGCAGCCCCCGATACGGGCACACACTGGGATGTGTTCTGAATGTTAACAGGAGCGATACTGCAGGGGGGCACCAGATGCACTGTCCCAAGGGGAAGATGGGGAATCAACAGCACCTTTAATGATTAACTTTTGGGGGGGGGGGGGGCTGTTTTAGATAAATTCCAGGTATCAGAAGTTTTTGAATACACCCAAGGAGAAGGGGCTAAATCAAGCTTTATGAGCAAGAATATCCTCTGGTTACACACTTTTCCCTTTGTACTATTCCTCCATGGTCTCACTCTTCAATCTAACTGGCAACCTAAGGCACACAAGAAGGTCCCCTGACCTCCCCATGACATATCTGCCCATCTACTTGAAATCACCTCCTTCAGAGAGAGTAGGCTGAGCCGCAGAGCTGTCGTGTCCACAGGCAGAAATGGCTAAACATGGGCAATTCCACAGGGCTCAGACCGCGACAGAAGGCGGCAACAAGAGGAGCGGCAGAGCTGACAGCTTCCTCCACAGGGGCCAATGGGCCAGTCCTGGGGACCCCACCCAGACAGGCATCCCCTCAGCACAGAGCTCAGTCTTCAAACTCTGGAGCAGCTTCAATCCTTTTGCCAAGTCAATCCCCAGCTCCCGTGACAAAGCCAAACCTGTCAGTGCCAGAAGCCAGGCCAAGAGCCCAACAACACTTTAGGGGTTTAACGGTGGCAAAGACGCCGATGTGCTGCCTGGACAGTGTAGCCAGGACAGAAAACACAAGTGCAGATGTGGCCACACCATTTGGGCTAACGATGTGTATACAAGGAAAAAGAAGTGGGACGGAGAAGGTCTGTAACAAAGGCAAGCAGATTCAGCACAAAATCCCAAGCTCCAGAAGATCATGCTAGAACCAGGGCCTGCTGTTTTCCACATTTCTGAAAAGGTTCTGAGCATCAGCAAAATGTAGTATTTTTTTAAAACCTTTAGTGCTTAGAAAAGTGTCAACTTTAAGAATGCCAGATTATACCTGTCCTCTACCTTCATGTCTCATACAATTATGCTCTATGCCCAAATAAACTCGGTTCCATTTTTTTAAAAAAATCAAGGTTACAGTCACACAAGAGAACTTACATCTTCTTCTTGCGATGGATGAACTATTTCCACAAGTCTCTGGATAATTTGCTCCTCATTTAACCACTGTAAAACACATTGTAGAGGTAATCATAGCAATGCGTGGCTCTTGTTCAAGCCCCAATGAAGATTAACATACTTGGAAATATCCATCACATTTTAAGTAGAATGTTACAGGTTTCTCTGGACTTTGAACACTACAGGAAATTAAAAGTCCCCCAAGGAAAATGCCAGTGAATATTATTATTTAAACAGTAGCCAACAGTACCAACTATGCCCCAAATTATAATTCCCACATACAAAAATTCTAACATCAGCTTCTTAGCCACTGGGTAATTCTCAGACACTAAGCACTAAAAGGGTCTGTATTTTGTTTGGGGCGTGCACGCGCATGTGAGTGTGTAATTTATATATTTTCTGTAAGACAGTATTCACCCTAAGACAGCATCAGAGGGGCGCTTGGGTGGTTCACAGTTGGTTAAGCCCCCAGATTAGGGCTCTAGTCAGGATCTCAGGGTCAGGCTCTGCCCTCAGAGGAAAGTTGGCTTGAGATCCTCTCTCTTCCTCTGCCCGTCCCCACTCCCATGCACGTGTGTGCTCTCTCTCTCTCAAATAAATAAATAAATCTTAAAAAAAAAAAAAAAAAGCTTCAGAAAGACTGAGAAAAACAGTATTTAGTTTTAGACTCCAAAACCAAAACAGCCACAGGAAACACGGGGGGCAGGGCACCGTAGCAGGAGAGTTCATCTGCCCTGTCACGAGTTAGTAAAGAGCTAGTATCCTGCCTAGGACAAACTCTTTCTCATCTACATGTGAAGTACTGACGTGAATGAAAATAGGAAGAGAAGAATAAGGGAGAATAAGTATCAGCTAGTAGACTGTTAGGCAGGAACAGAAGCAACATAATAAACAAGGCACTTATAACCAAGAAAGGACACAAAAACAAAAACAACCTCAAAACAAAACCCAAAGGTTAAAGGGAAATTGGGGGGGGGGGACAGCGGAGGCATGGGGCTGGGTGGCAAGAAATCAAACACAATTTGCTAAGGGCAAAGCTGCCTGCTCCTTAAAGAGAAGGTGCCCAAGGAAAATGCAAACAAAGCTACTAGAGGGCACAAAGCTAGAGGTCCAACTTTACATTTTAAGATCAGTTTCAAAATGGGCACATGAATCACCCTCCTGGGGATCTTGCCAAAATGCAGATTTTGATTCAGTAGGGCAGAGGTGAGACCTGAGTCCTCAGGTGACACTTGGGGCCACACTTTAGTAGCGACGGGCAGGGGGATCATGACCACCAAGGGAGAAGGAAGGAAACTTTGTGGGCTATGAAAGGATCAGCCCCTCACTCCTACTGCCTCCACAGCCATTAATAAGCACTTATTCCCCCATGACGGGCACCCAAATCAAAGCTTCTAACTACCCTTCCCCCAACCCAAGCCTTTACTATCACTACATCCCTCCAGAAGCGCATCTATTCCTTTAGAAATGGCCCTAAAATTCAACCCAGAAGTGACCAAAGGAATTCTAAGAAACTATACTTAATAATTTCTGCCTAGAGCAATCCAAATATAAAGGTGACCCCTCTCATTGCCCTCAACAATCTTTCCTGGAATCCTCAACATCTTCTGAGAAAAGATATCCACAAAAACATACCTAAAAGGAACCAGCACCCCAATTTCGGGTCCCTTCCCACAGGCAACTCCAGGACATTCACTAGGTATCCTCAGCTGGTGTCCTCACAATGACCATGGTTCTCAGGAGACTTCCGCCTGGTTCTACAGACCCAGCCCTGACCCCATCCCCTTTACACAAACACATGCCTGGGCATGCCTGCTCACCTCAGCAGAACATGCCTTTCCTGGAATACCACCTGACAGACCCTCCTGCCTCTCCTCTGGTTCTTTGAGTCTTTAATTAAAATCAGTATTGCCAATAAAACTAATTTCAAAGGAATGAGTGTTAGGGTTCGAGGCTGAGTATTAAGGATGGAGTGGGTTGGGGAAGGTTCTGGAAGAAGGCAGTGAAGAGAATGAGAGAGGAGGAGACAGAAGACAAGAAGGGGCAAAGGTAAGAGCCCGTGAGAAACCTCATCTTCCAGTTACTCACACTCTCCCTCTTCCCGCCCAAATTCCACTTAAGACAGCTCTTCAAGAGGCGCACATATCCTAAAATATCCATCTACCAAAATTTTAAAATATGTGTGCTTTTGGAAATAAGCCCCATTCTCCTTCTCCTTCTATGATCCTAACTACCCACAAGAGGAACGTTACCCTGAAGGCTGATTTCCTGGAAACACCCGAACCCATCCTTGCAGCCATGACCCTGCGGTGTAGTCACGCTCTCAAGATCGATGCCTCATGGCATCCTCAGATGAGATTTGTAACTCCCTGTCTTCTGCTCTTACCACCAGACCAGTTTTAAACACATTTTCAACCCATTCCACTGCCCCACTCCCACTGAAAATCAAACCGGCAAAGGGTAAAGAACCCCTCACAAAGAAACATCCCAGGCACCTCCGGATGTGCACATCTCGAAAACGAATCCTGCAAAATTGTAATCTCTTCCTACCTTGGAACCACCTTCCTTCCCCACCCTGCCCTCCTCCCCACCCCACCCCCAGTTCCTCAGACAACCTTCGCCTCCTCCCAACCCCCTGGAATCCCTCCCAGCACCCAGCAGCCCTGTCGGCTCCTGGGCCACTCCCCGCCCCGGCGCAGGAGTCCTAATTCTACTCACATTCAGCACATCTTGCCTGGGCTGCGGAGGCTCGATGCACGTCAGGAGCCTGAGCAATAAATCCATGATGGCCGAAGTTCCTATGTGCTTTATTATAAGGTCTACAAAATCACGTTTCTTCTTTAAGAAATCCACAATCTAGAGGAGAACAAACCAAAACTCAAAGACACATAACTGGGGAACTATCAACTTTAGAATGTATTCCACCCTGACCCCTCAAACTGCCCCCTCTCAAATCCCACCACCATCTTAAGTGGAGGAATGGCAAATGCTGAGTTAGTAATCAGATGTAAATTTGGAAAGCCTGCTAATTGTGAGAGTATGCAAAACCCCTTGGGAAAAAAACTCCCAAATTATCACACATTTCCTCATATAAATACACTATAATAGAATCTTTTATTTCTGTTCACTTTCATTATTAGTTTTCAAAGAATAAGGATAAATAATTTAATACCCTATAAAGAGCACGAGAATATACCATTAAACAGTTTATGGACATAAAGCAAGTCCATAAGACTGCACTAAAATGCAGAATAAATATTCAAAATCCTCATTAGTCCCTACCAAGTAAGAAAAATAATTCAAAACATCAAGTGTTTTTAAGTCAGTCTAAGCGGCTAACTCACCTGCTCCAGCAACATCACATGTGGGTTTGAGGTCAGCTGTTCACCTGACCAGATTAACACAAGGAGGGTGAGTGGGGAAGAGACGGGCAGCTATACAGAAGGGACACGAGAAGTTACAACTGCCACCTGGGTCTCTCTTCTGTGCAAGAAGAGGGAGAGCGTTCTGTCCTGCAAACCCTTGTGGGCTTTCTGTCCGTCTGCACCAAGTGCCTCTTCGAAAGTCCCAGAAGCAGCGCGGCCAGTGTGGCAGCAGCTAAGTCTCACCAAACTCTATCGAGAAGCCCTCGAGGTGGGGTTGCCCCACTCAGCGTTCTAGACAAGGAAACCAAGGCGCAGACCAGTTAGGTATCTTGCTAGAGCCAAACCGTGGCTGCCCTGAGGTTTAAACTTAGATCTGTTTGCCACAAAAGCCACCAATCCTGCCATCAGCCCACGTGAAGAAGTCCACTGAGCCAGAGAGGACAAAAACTGCTTCACGCTATCCAGTACAAATGGAGGTGCAACTATCCCAGGCCGCTCCTCTGAACAGGGAGCTTAAACGTCACCATATAAACCTTCAAGAAGTCAGATACAACTATTCCACTCACAACTGAGTCACACAGTAGTTTTTAAAAGCACAGCAGAGTAGAAAAGAGGAAAAAGTCAGACGTGACCAACATACCCTGTGCTTCAGCGGCAAAAGCGCCAGCTCAGGAGCCCAAAGGCACAAACCAGAGCCAGCGCTGTGGACAGCACAGCAAAGACAGCAAGATGTCCTCAATGGAGGACGACACCTGAGATGCGAACCTTCCCGGCACTGAAGGGACCCCAGGGCTGGATGGCCTGGGCCGTGAGCGATGAACAACTGCATGAGGTAAGCCAGGCTGAGTCTCCAGGTTCCTCATTACCTGCAGCTGCATGCATCCTCACTCACGTCTCACGAGAGGGGAAACCTTCATCTACACTCTCAGTTCTCCAACGGAGAGAGAGGTGTTAGGTTTGACCTTTTCCTAGAGCTAGAAGAGCGAGGGTGACTGAATCCTCCCATTCTCATTCCAAGAGTCCCAAGCCAAGAAGCACAAGGAACCACGGAGTGAGCAGGCCCCTTTCCCAGCACTTCATCGGCGGATGCCATCCCCGTGCATGGGCACGTCTGACCCGGAAGGCCAGCACAAACACTCAGCGTCCCAGAAAGCTTCACGTATTCCCGCGTATATCAAAGGTATGGTGAGAACCGGAGCCCCTGAATCTGGGCTCCCCTAGCATGGAGTGAAAAGAAAAAGCATGATGGAGGTGGAAGGCCTAAGTCAGTAACGGCTACAACCATCTGAAAGGCCGGTACCTCAGGCTGATGGGACGGTGTGCACTTGCTAGAATGTCAGCAGTTACCGTTATTTCTCACCAGAAAGTGGAAGAGGGAAAGACAGCCTGTATTACAGTAATCATGATTTGGGGATTATTATCTAAGAAAAAAGAATCTCAATTCCAATACCTTCAGGAGGATAATCCTGCCTAATTAAGAACACGAAAGAACAATCTTGTCTTTATAAAATAAAACATGCATCCACTTTGCCTTGGCAAAGGACAGACATACTGGGCCTAAAATAGCCCCATCGCTCCATGTCTGCTGATGGCAAGGACAGGTCACGGAGCCTGTTCTCCATCAGGGAGGAGGCCAGGCCCGGACGGTTGGACCAACTGCAGCCCTGGCATCACACCCTTGCTCGCTGCACTCTGGCAGGTCTATTTGTAACTTGGAAGCTCTCGTTGCTCCTTGGGTGCCTGTTTTCAGAAGTGGTTCCTATCTCCTGGTAAGCACATCCTTCTGCACACCAGTATCCACTAGAGCAGTGACTCTCAAGTTTTAGTATGCATCAGAATCATCTAGAAGACTTATTAAAAATCCCAGATCGCTGGGCCCCACCCTCAGAGTGTCTGATTCATTAAGCGTGAGGTGGGGCTTACAAACTTGCATTTCTAATAAATTCTCAGGTGGTACTCATGCTGCTGGTCAAGAAACCATACTTTGAGAACCACTACACATACACTAGGTCCTTGGAAAATCAATTTCCCAAGGGTATCTGAGTTGTTTAAGAAAAAAACAGATATAGGGGTGGGGAGAGGAAGGAGAGGAGAGGGAGGGAGCAGTTCCCTCCACAGTAAAGTAGGATTTTCTGCTCAGCACTACTGGACAGGAACGGCAGTCTAAACAGAGACGTCTGGAGGCGCCTGGGTGGCTCAGTTGGGTAAGTGTCTGACTTTGGCTCAGGTCATGATCTCAGGGTCATAGGATCGAGCCCCACTTGGGCTCCGTGCTCAGCAAGGAGTCTGCTTCTCCCTCTGCCCCTCCCCTAGCTCATGCTCGCGCTCTCCCTTGCTCGCTCTCTCTCAAATAAATAAATAAAACCTTAAAAAATAATAATAAAAGCATAAACAGAGACATCTCAAGCTAAACACTTAAGTTTTCGAGTGGACTCAAAATAGAAAATAATCACCATCTGTATAAACTCATCATCAATTACATTTATGGAAAAGCTTGATTCAAACCCTCATTTGTGTTGGGCGCATCATTAGGGGAAAGAAAAAAAAAACAACTGTCACTTCCCCAGTCGCTACAACTCCACTCACACCTTCAACCACTCAGTATGAGCCACGGCACTCGCCACCTTCACAAATGGACAACCCACGTTCTCATGCTTTTAACTATTTGTCAAAAGAGGAAACCGAAGTACTTACTACAACGCTGAGCTGTGAGGCACTTAGAAGAGTATGTCAAGTTAGAACACAGTCATGAACGTGTAAGGCAGTGTTAAGTCAGTATATTTAAAATACACTCCTCTCCAGAACCTGGACTTAAGGTACACTCAGAACACAATTACTGGGGGATCATCTCAGGGGGATGATCAGCCCTAATACTTACCTTCTGGAAAATGGTATTTACCTGTTCTGGTTTTCTGCTGATAAGAATACTGAGCACCTTGCTGAAGAAACTGGCAAGTAGCGGGTTCAAGGGGGAGTCGTTTAGGAGGAAGCTATATAACCTCATGAGCAAGGACTCGTCTTCTCCCAGCCTATCGTTCATCTGGGAGACATCAGAAGTGAGCAACTCACAAGATATATTTGGGTACCTAGAAGAACAGGACACTTGTATCATCATCTGTGTTAACAGTTTCATTACAGAAAGTAAAACACAAATCAGAAAGGCTTCCTAAAATTTTGTGAAAAATAACAAAATCACCTCTGGGAATTAGAAAACAATTTCAATCCATTCTGTCCAACCTCTAGATTAAAGTGAATTTTCTACTGTACCTAAAAACTTACTTCTAAAGCAGCTTTAACAGGATATACATTCCCCAACAAAACTAGAGCACACCTAGGGCTTGGGAGCCTGGGGAGGCGGCACTGCAGGGCAGGGCGTGGGCCACCTCCGGCCACAGCCATCAGGCCTCGGAGGCCTGCTCCAGCAGGAAGCTCCAGCAGGAAGCGGCAGAGCTTGGAGGACGACCGTGGGGGATGCTGGTTTCCAGAGAACTGCACTACGCACGGCTAAGTACTCAAGACACATTCAGGTTCCAAGACCGGCCACCTCTATTTTCACATGGGTTGCAAATGGTGCTAAAAAGCTGCTTTGGGGGAGCTTATCAAGTGTTCAGTCTATATTACGCCTTAAGAGAACCAATGTTCTAACATAGTTCCCTATGTGGAGAACAAGACATCAGCCCGAGTCACCCAAGTAGGAAAGCTGTGTACAAAACCCAAGCTCTCCACGCCAGCCTGCCCAGGTCTTCCAGGGATAAGCCCACCATCAGGGCTCACTGCAGTGGGACACAGACCTCTACCACTGACCCCACAGCTCTGGAAAGAGCTGCACCCCTAAAGCATGCTTGCCTTTGACCCCCAGAGCACTCCCTCTCTGAAAACCAGACAGCTAATCCATTTTTTCCACACACTCCTTTTACCACAATTTCTCTTCTGTTTTCTACAGCAACAAATGCAGACTCCCAGGCCGGCCCACAAGACACTCTCCGCCGCCCCCAAGTTCACTTTTCTGCTCTTTACTCCTCCCTGTCAAGCAGCCAGGATCCAGGACCAACTCATCATCTGGAGCGGCAAGTCAAAGGCCGGCTGGACAGGGAGGTGACAAAACAGCCACCAGTTGCTATGGGACAGGAGAGAGGCGAGGACTGTTGTCTGGAACACAGACAACACCCCTCGAGGCATCCGCGACAAGCAAGGGCGGCCTACTGTGAGGCCCCTGGCTTGAGAGGCCACAGCCCCTGAGAGGGTCTGGTGTGAGGTCGGAAGATGGAACAGTGGGAGAATGTCCCCAAGTGAACCTTTGTAGGGAGGAAGAGAACGGAAAAGAAAGACAACAGAACTGGCAGGTGTGTGGGCATGAAGAGCATATTATCAAATAGCTGTCTTCTGTGGCTCAAATTAAAAGTCTTTCTTTCTTACTTTATGGAACATGTGGGCTCAACGATGCTGTAACGTAAAGCCGCCATTATGCCAGGGGCAGGATAATGCAGTGGGTGCAGGTGTGGCTTCTGGACTCACACCACTAGGTTCAGACTCTGTCTCTACCACTTACAAGCTGCATGACCTTGGACAAGTTACTTAACCTCCCTGGGCCTCAGTTTGCAAGTCTGCAAAATTAAGACAACAGCCTTTCCCTCATGGGGAAGGATAACACAAAATACTGAGGAGGAGGCCCGGAATAAATGAAAGCTAGCTGTTTTTATTCCTCTTTATTTTCTACTTTATAAAACTTCCAAAATGCTGCTGTGGGGGGTAGGGGGTGCATTGTCTCAACTGTCCCGATTTGAAACTGCTGGCATATAAAGCACTGGCAAACCAATGCATAGGGTGTAGTCTCCAAATTCTGACACACAAGGTCTAGAACGGGGCATGGGCATCTAAAACATTTTTTTCATGAATTTTCCACATATTTTTCCACAGTGACTGAGACATATAATCTAGATAAAGAAGCATGAATATGGGGCCTGGGCACTATACATAACACTCAAGGTCCTGGTTACGGACAGGCTGGGGCTCCTCTCTCTCTCCTAAACATTAAACAAGCTTCTAAAGCACCCAAAGACCCCCTCCATTTCACCCCGTGGCAAGCCTTCCCCCTCCCCCACGCATGCTCTGACCTCAATTTCTTCGTGAGAACACGGAAGCAATCAGAAGAGAATTGCACCCCAACCTGCATCTAGGCGTCTTCCTCCTCCCTATCCGTAGAGCCAACTCCTAAAGCCGCCCTCCACCTGTCCTTTTTACCAGACGGTCTCCCACCTACTCAGGCACGGCACATCCCTGGGTGGCCCACTCCCTCTGTTCGTCATTTCCCTCCGTACTGCATGGCTCTCACCAGCATACAAACGTCCCACTATTTCTCCCACCAGGGATAAAAACACCACCACACCTCTTCTGACTCCCATCTGCCTGCAACACCCACTTTCTCTCTCTGCTCCTTTTCCAGGAGACTCTTGAAAGAGCTGTCTCTGCTTCGTCCCCGGTTCTTCCTCAAAGGCGTTCCAGCCAGGCTTTCACCTCCACCATTGCAGAGAACCACACTGATGGGGCCACGTGCTCTGTGCTGCAAACACCCATGGTCACGGGGCCTGTCAAGGGCGGCCCCCAACCTGGTTGTCCCAGCTCTCCTTCCTGAAGCCTGGCTTCTCTTGGCTTTCAGGGTGACAACCCCTCCTGGTTCTCCTCCTCCCTGCAGCCCCCCTGCAGTCCCTCTGTAGGAACCTTGACCCAACCAACAGCATCTTAGCTTTAGGACTTATTATACTACTTAAGGACCTATTCTCAAAGTTCTGCTAAATTATTTAGAACTGAGCTATCTGTCATTAAGATTAAAAAGGTTAGCGCAAAATGTTTAAATACCCTGTATAGGATCATTGACTTAGAACAGTGATGAGTTCAAGCCATGTGTGTAACTAATACAAAGTTATGAGATTCACAAAATACAGCACTCTATCACCCAGACTCTATAAACACTAGTTTAAATTTCCTGAGATGACGACAGGTCAACCTTAACTCCAGAAAGCTTTCAGATCCCATCTGCAATACCCATCTGCGTTCCAGCCGTGTGTATCTTGTATCTTACGCACAGCTGGGGCTCCATCCCCACCGAACTTCAGCAGAGAACTCATCTGCCCAGCGCAAGTCATGCTCCCCCAAAATGGCACCACCCAAAAGGCCATGTGTCCAGGGAGGCACACCTGCTCTCGCAACCTCAAAGGCAGCACAAAGAAAGCGCTGGCCAAGGCAATACTACAAAAGCCATGACTACTTTTTGGTAACATAAGCACCTTCCCTAAGGTGTGGTGTGCCCATTCTTCCCAGTTAAAGAGGTATTAGCTTCAATCAGCGGGTGAGGAAACCAACCCCAGAAGGGTAAGCCCTCTGGCTCAAGTTCTCTAAGAGGGGAGTGCAACACCCCTTCAGGTGGGCTGGATGCAAAGCCCACAGCACATCGGCTCCTACCAGGATGAGCCCCACGAGAAGTCGCACCCACACGTCCTGGTTCACTGGGAAGGGAACTGCAAAACAGCAAAGTATCTGTCTTCTGGGGGTTGGGAGTACGCTAGTCTTCCTGCTGCCAAATTCCTTTCCTCTTCTTTTTCAGGGCACTGAACTGAGTGGAGGCTAATGCTAGCTGCCAATCTTAATGGCCAGCAGAGAACATAACCTCACCTCCTTGACAGTCCAAGCCACCAGGAACCTGAAAGCATTAATAAGTTTTATTTCTTTGGCAGCAAAATTCTCCCCACAAAGAAATAAAAAGATATCTGAAAAGAGGAAGATACTGGGGGAGAAAGGGCAAAGAATAATCTACCAAAAGCCTTAATCCTTCCTATTCCATTAAGTTTGTTTAATGAATAATCAATGACTTTTTGTTCCTGAAATCTGTCCGATTTTCTGGGGAGGAAGGAAAGAGTCAAATACTTCAAACAGAGTTGGATATGGGAAGAGAGTTCACTGAAACCCCAATACTTTGCATGCACGTGGAGTGCTCACAAAGGGTTTCCAGGCATGTGCAGTCCAAGTGTCGGAAGAGATGGTCATGAAGGGCCCGCCGGGCACTACTTCTCTGCTCTGAGCAGAGCAAACTAGTGGGGAGGACGTAAACCTGCTACAGTGATCCAAGGGGCTAGCTACTTCAATTTAGCTCCACTGATGTTCCCCAAGACCCATTCCCTTATTTTAACAAAAGTCAGAATTTCTTGTACCAGTAACAGTCTTCATAACCCAAGCTCTGGCTTAGATGTGCCATGTGATCTGGGGCAGTCACATAATTTCTACCTTCCTATTTGCAAAGAAGAGAAAATACTTACTTGAATCGTCTATTTTCAGAAACTTCTTCACTGTTTATAAAGCACTTTGCCCTTCCACAAAGACTCCTGACTGCAATTTAGAACGCTCATTTTAAAAACCCTGTGATTTCACTGGACTCGGTTCTAGAACGGATTAAATGCTCCACTGAGTCTGTCACCCTTGACCATCTTGACACTCTAAATGGTCTACAACAGCCCTGGGGAATTGCCGGACAACAATAATAATATTCTACCCCCACTTCACTTCAGTCCCACCCTAAAGAGAAGATTGAATTTTCTTACTTGTATCTGATCTTTTCATCCATGTCTTGAGGTGGTTCTTCTATAATGAATGAGACTAAATCTTCGAGACATTCTGCTTTTAACAGAAACTCTATAAGTTTGCGGTTCTGAGCTTTACATTCCTGTAAAACATCTTCCTCATCCATTAACTCCTTCAGTGTTACATCTTCTCTTTCTAGAAGTGTGTCTATGTGGGATGATGAATGAAGATCAAATTTCCAAAACATGCTGGTCTAAACAAAATGCAGAGAGTATTTCAAATAAAATTTCAACTTCACATATTAATTTTTCAAATTTTAATTGAGTTTTACAATCTAAAATGCCAACTTGAGTCACATAAGTAAAATAAGTGTCATATTGAACCTATAAAATACTTTCTAAGTAAGTAAAATCGGCAGGATTTTTCCTTCTCAGAAAATAGTTTTATTGGTAACAAAAAATTTTGACTTAAAAATGCTGAAAGAATGCTTAAACTTGGGTTGATTTCAACCTACAATATTAACCCATCCACACTTTGTTAAGAATTTAACGCTGGGAGGGGCACCTGGGTGGCTTAGTCGGGTTAAGTGTCCGACTCTTGATCTCGGCTCAGGTCTTGATCTCACGGCCATGAGTTTGAGCCCCAATACTTAAAAAAAAAAAAAAAAAAGAATTTAATGCTGGGAAAGGAAGAAAGAAAACCCTTTCTTACAGTTGAAGAACATTCTTACGCAGAAGTTATATCTTCAAGCAACAAATGACAAGCACTGTGACCTAAGTATCTAGCATTCTTCAGAATACTAAAGAATTACACTAGCATTTTCAGCACTGAGAGCAGTTTCGCAGCCAAAAGTCATAAAATGATAAAATCTGTGCCATTCTTAATAAAGAAACTAAACAAGTGGAACCTAGTTCTTGACGAATGAGGGAAACCAACATCCTCAGTTATCAGGAAAAGCAATGGGACATTAACAGGGCCACATATATATATTCTTCCCTTCTCTTCCTCCCACCCTTCCTCAACCAGTGAGGACAGGAAGTTCGTTTTCTTCAAGTTACAGTTAAAGAGGGTCCTGACCGGTCACAACCGGCAACAGGAAGCACAGGAGTCACTATGTCATCTGCAGCTGCCATGACAAGACCTTTTCAAGCCACTTTTGAGCAACACATGACAAGATGACAGCATCAAACGAAAGTCCTGATTGGGGACAGGACAAGTCACAAGTCACTCCTATCTGTCAAAGATGCTCACTGCAGAAGCCCTGACACAGGGTTTGGTAAGACACCTTCTGACTTCATGTAACCCCCAAACCTACAGATCAACTGCAGCTTTACCATCCACCCAGTATAGCGGCTCCTGTTACCGTTATCACCAAAAAACATGTGAAAATCCACACGGGCTCATGTAAAATCCTGTGCTGGAAGAGCTTGGGTAGAAGGAAGGAAGCTGCAAAGGTCGTAACTTATGTATAGCACACATACATTTTGAGAAGGATTTATTTTTGCTAAATCACCCATATTAGATCAGGCAGGAATATACCCTGATTTAGTATTTTCATGAACATCTGTTCAAAAAAATTTTTTTAATCCGACATCATGGAGGACAAATGTTACGTATACAGCCAGTCACACTGATCAATCCAGGAACAGAAGAAGAAAGACGTGTGCACGGCAGGTCACTCAAGAGCCTGTAGAAGTATATGCACTTCACCTGACTTCCCTATACGTATGTAATCAACGCAGTCTGAAATACAAGCAAAGTTTTAAGGAATCTTAACAAAGAAGGACTCCTCAAGAGAACAAGTTTTAGGTAAGATTGTGAAGTATGGTGTTGTAAAAGTTGTCCCTGCTTCAAAAGAGCTTTCAATGTTTCAGAAGCTACCTCCGGCCATACACTCACATGCAGTCACCGGCAGCAGGAAGACACAGTTAGGAACGAAGCTACTGTGACAGTTCACCTAAACCGGACCGGCAACGCCTCGCTCTGGAGGCACTGTGAGTGGAACTGTCCGCCCCAAAGCTCAATGGAGGACACGAGTACAAGGCACAGCCATCTCTCTCCTCTGAACGATGAGGCCCCGAATTATGTACACAAGACCCAGAACACGCTAAAAAAGCAGGGTCACAACTCCCAGCATGGTCAGCAACCACCCACATGCTAGGCCTCTGGCCTTCAAGACCAGGAGCAGGCAGAGTGCTCCCTGGGAGTGGAACACTTTTGCTGGTGAAGGACAGAAACACGTCCTTCCAACACAAGAGCAATCTGCTTCTACTTCTAAGGCAGTTACTAAGGAAATAAGGGCAAAGGTGATATATCCTTAATAAGAATGGAACTTTAGGGAAAAAGATGGTGGTAATAAAACCATAAATGATCTTTTGGTTTTCAAACTGTGGAAAATGGCAAACAAACAAAAGAGATGTTATTATGCCAGTTTATCCTCATCAAACAAGGAGGGAAAAAAAGACACAAGGATAGCAAAAGATAACTCCAAAGGAGGAAAGAAAGGAGCTTTCCTAAGTAACGCTGTCAGCACAGTCTCCAGTGCTTCTGCTGGAGCAATGTGGCTCATTTATCTGGGAGTTTAAGACTGCAAATCCTAAAAACGGCACATGCTACCACTCTGCCTCCCTCCTGCTACTGAAGTGTACGAGGATGCAAACAGCTGTGTTCACACACAGACACAACACACAAGTCACAGGCTATATTTGGATTCCACACATGTATCAACCTGCACGGTTTTTAGGAGCAGATGCAGGCACCCAGGACAGACACTGCAGCTCCAGTTCAGCTCAAGGAGCGAAAGCACCTTATTGAACTCCAAAAACATCATCATCCACGTCAGTACACCTTGTCTTCAAAGTCAATCAAGGAAATTTTGATTTCCATCAAAATTCATCCATCCCGTTTTAAAAAATATTTTATTTTTCTATTTGTCAGAGAGAGAGAGAGAGAGCACAAGCAGCAGGGGAGCAGCAGAGGGAGAAGCAGGCTCCCCACTGAGCAGGGAGCCCGATGTGGGACTCCATTCCAAGACCCTGGGATCATGACCCAAGCCGAAGGCAGATGCTTAACTGACTGAGCCACCCAGGTGTCCCCATATTACTTATTTTAAATACTTTGGCAAAGTCACTGACTGAAAAGCTACCAGGTGTATTCAAATATTTCCCATGCTCCACCGACATCAGGTCAGACTGGGCTTATTTTGGCCTGTAAATCAAATTTCTGATAATCTAACAGAACGGTCTCTCCACCTGAATTCAGAAAACTGGACACAGTTAATAATTTAGCCTGAAGTATTTTTTAAAAATTAGGTCTCATTTAAAGTAGTATGCTTTTTTAGGGTGCCTGGATGGTGCAGTTGGGTTACATGTCTCTTGGTTCAATGATCTCAGCATTGTGAGATCCAGCTGGGAATCTAGCTCCACTCAGTGCCAGTCGGCTTGTCCCTCTCCTTCCCTCCTCCTGCCCCCTCCCCCTGTACCCATGCTCTCTCTCTCTCTAAAATAAATAAATCTTTAAAAAATAAAGTAGTATGCCTTTATTTTTTGTAATCCCATATAGAAAGGCAAAGTATAATGAAAAATACTAAGAAATCAATTACAAAAAAGCAAAGTTGATTATCAAGACCTTAGGATTGGCTAGTTATAAATAAGATACACACTCACATCCATCAAGTGGAAACTATAAATGTCCACAAACTAGATAAAGTCCATACTCCTCAATTATTGATCAGAATATAATCACATCGATGTAGTACAAGTAAAAACTGATGCCCCAAATTTCAACCTTATAACAGTAACCCCTTAAATACTGGATTTATAAGAAGACTGATAATTAGCCATGATGACATAAGAGCAGGAGTTGGCAAACTGCAGCCCACAGACCAAATCCAGCCCACAGCCTGCACACTAAGAATGGTTTAGATATTTTTAAAGGGTTGTTTTAGGGGAAGAGAAGAATGTGTGACAGAGACCAAATGTGGCCCGCAGAGCCTGAAATATTTACTACCTGGTCCTTTACAGAAGTTGTTTAGCATCCCTGGCTCAGGAGGAAATCAGGTTCCCACTAACTCTATCTTTCCCCCCATTATCTCTGAGACTACATGGGTGTCCACCCTGGGCCTTCGCAGCCCACCCAGCAGGGTGCGGTCACACGGTGCTGGGCCAGATATCTAGAGACCCATTCCCCTTTCCCTAGCGGTTTACAAAGACCACGTTCCCAACTTCTTGGGCAAGTAGGTATTGCCACGTGACAATGTCTTCCCAGGTGTGCCATAAACTATTAAAACCTCCATGTGCTCTCCTCTACATCTGACTGGATGCCCAAGACAAAAAAGGCTCTCAGGGATGGCAGAGCCAAAAAATGGAAGGTGCCTCCATATCCCCAAATCACCAACTGGAAGAAAGCTGCCCGCCAACCTCAGAGCCTGCTGTGTTACGATAAGCCATCACACACCTGGTCTGTGTGTTCCAGCAGTATGTCCTACCTGACCAGCCAGCTCCTCTAAACCCGGAGCCTGTGACTTCTTGTTTTATTATACTTATTTAAGCACAAGAACAGGAATTTTTTAGCAACTGTTTAAAAAATGCCTAAGTCCTTTCATTTTCCACCATCCTGAATTAGAATAGCATTTTTTTTACATCAGAACACTTTGAAATATATATTTCCACAGTGCACTTTCTTTAAACTGGGTACGTTACAAACTTAAAAATAAAATAAAACCACAGTAGACTCCTTAAGCAAACATTATGTATTTTATCTTTTGGTCAAACAGCAAATTGACTGGAAATGAATGGCACCAGTAAATTAGTTACCCTAGCTTCTATTTGTGTCCTTTGAAGTAGAAACAAGCCAGGTATGAACAGTTACAAAGTTCAACCAGGGCCCTGTGAGAAAATGGAGCCCTTTCAAAAATACAACTAAGATACTCAGAAAAACTAAAGGAGCCAGCACTTCAACAGCTAATTTTTAGTTAATATAAATACACTTTAAAATTCATACCCTAGCTATACCTGAATAGGATTTAGGGATAAAAGGGGAAGCAATTTCTTACAGTAAACCAAATCACAGACTTTTCTATTAACAAGACAAAGAGGAAAATGGTAAATGAAACCAAACTATCTTTCTTCAAAATCCTAGAGTTGTTTTGTTTCTTTGGGTTTTGTTTTGGTTTTGGGTTTTTTTTTTACATTTTTACTTATTTGAGAGAAAGAGAGCGCACACATGCGCCTGCACTGGTGGGGAAGAGCAGAG